TCTTGGAAATCCAGACCACTGCAAAGGCCATGAATATGTCAATGTTGCATGCATAAAGCGTATGCAACAGGAGGTTATGGCTATAAGTGTGTACTCGGTATTATGCTCTTCATGCTCGGACCCTGACCAACGTACTTATGAGCGGCCATCAGGAGAGTCGAAATGGGGATGGGGATGCGGATGCGGATGTGGATGTGGGTGTGAATGGTCGATGCTCATGCCGATGCGGTGACGATGACGATGACGATGCCTGGACACGCCTGGGCGCCAAAAGAAAATGTGTGAAGTTATAAATTGCATTGTGTCAGCATAATTATGACATTAATCACAAATGATGTGGATGTTGACGCTGATGTGGACTGGATGGAGATGGACGTCGGGCTAACCATGGCCGTGGTAATGAAAATAAATGTCAAATTCATTTTTACTGCCATCGCACAATGCACTCACGTACCTCATCCATCCATCCATACATACATACATACATACATACATATATAGGTATAAAAATATCTATATACGGTTATAAGTACTTGTCCTGACTGATTGACTGGCTGGCACATGAATGATGAGTCTCAATCGTCGAGGCTATGAAGCAACAATTTGGCACAAAAAAATAAAGATGCTCGACAATTTTTCGCACAGGAACATCTCATCAAATCCTCTTTCATATTCTTTATCGTTCATCGTTGCCTTTTTTATCAGCAACCATGGGATGAAAGCAACCATTTTTCCATTTTCTTTGGGTCGCTGCTTAGCTGTGCCTTGGCAACTATTGTGTCTGCTTTTAATACATATTTATAATTTAAAACCATCGTTTGTTGCGACTATTTCTATGGCAGCTAAATCAATTATTAAGTCTTAGTATGACTTCGCTAGTACCAAAGGTAATTCGAGGTGGCGGTGATCGTCCGGGCTTTATGCTAACGAGGAAATCAAGTTTCCTTTACTTTCTAAAGGCAGATTGAATCCTTTGACACAACTCAATCATGGTATCAGAGAACTCCCTACTCAAAGTACCTTTTGCCTTTTGAGAATTTTGTTAATAGTTTATTAGTCTATTTTGTAGTCTGTTATATTTAAAGTGTGAACATTCGTCTTACGAATTTCCGAAACCAATCAGAATGGGCCCAATCATGCCACCGTGCCTTAAATTGCGCCAAACGGTGACCTTGTCTGAGTTTGCGGGTAAGTGATGGATCACCATTGGATTTTCTCAGCTCCAAATGGGACACTTGTGAGGCAAATAATTGCTTGGTCTGCGTCCATTCTCTACTGCACGCTGTTTGTTGGCAAAAAAAAATTCGTCAATCTGTTAACGTAGCTCGGGCGTAACTGCCTGCTCGATTATTTACCAAGCAATTATGTGTGGAAACACGCTGTCGGCGCTTCGATAAGCGATAGAGTTTATTGAATGTTGCCTCCTAGCAAATCCACCTCTAGCTCTGAATTCATGAGGTTGGAACAGCAATAAATATTGCTTTGATTTCGCTTGCCGATTTAAAAGGTAGGCAGCAATAAAGAATCTCGTCCAGCTCTATTAAAATGTTGACCAACTGATAGAAGCTAAGAAGAAACTGTGATATACAAAGTTTGGTCTATCATTGAAGGATTGGCAGGATACTAATGTCCTCATTAGTCCTCGTTACATGATATTAAACAAATAGCTTAAGCATGCTTGGTTCTTATTTAACAACATTTATGGTACTAGTTAATAGTAAGTATCAACATTTAGTAGAAGTCTCAAAAAAACTTAAATCGCATTGGATAAGCGATTCAGTTCAGTGGCCCAACAAAGCTATTCACATATATGTACAACTTATGCCCCACTCGAGGATTCAGGATTCAAACCTATAAGCTTATTGTATTTGGCCAAAGGATATTGTGTTTTGTTCCTCCACAAACTAATTATCGAAAATGTAGATTACTTTGCTTTTTATGGCGTTTTGAAGTCTCGGTTCTTGTGGACCAATAGAAACTATTTTTCTCTTCTCCTAAGCGGATATATTGCACAATCCTTTCCGTTTATATGGCTACATTATAGAGCTCTTTTCTACATGCTCTCAACTGTACCCTCAGTAATAAGGAAAAACATTTGCAATTAGTTGAAGTAATTTGTCTGCAAAAAAGGCTTTAAGGCTTATAGAATAAAAAGGATAAGAGGAGTCTCAGACATATTCTCGGATGTACCCGAAAAGTTTCCCGAAGCAGTCGAGCATCAATTCTTTATTTCTTAGATATGTCTGATAGTCTGAGATATACAAAACGTGTATTAGCAATAAAGATTGTACCTAGTTGCCAGAAGTTTTACCTTCCAGCATTCCAGCTCGAGAAGCTTATCCAAAAACTGCCTTCGTAATATAACATCATGCAGTTGTAGGACTTTGGACTTATGGGCTATATATTAATTTTTACTTTCACAGGACAAAAGTAAACACATTTTAAATATATGAAAAAAAAAAGATGCAACCTTTTTATGCCGAAATTGCTTATATTGCATCGATTAGCCATATACACGACATTAATGTGTACCTGTGTACAGTAATTAGTAAATTTGAAGACTAATTGGCTTAATGAAAAATAATTCCACGCAGTGCAGATACTTGCATAGCATGCCGCAAAAACAATGTCGAGGCCATGTTTTAAATCCTGAGCTCAATTAACTCATTCAATAATTTGTAGTGCATGTGCGACGAATGCAAAAAAATATGTGTTTATATAAAAAAAAAGAAATAACGTTGCATATTATATTTTTTTTAATGAAAATGATACGTAAACATTAAATAAAAATGGAATTTTAAACGAGCTCAAGAGGAAGGGGATCTGCAACTGCGCTCCGGCCCCCTTCTGTGCCCTTTTTGGCGTTCGTGCTCGTAGGAGGGGGCTGTCTGATATTTTTTTTAGGCATAATGCATTTTTTTTTGCATTTAATTCAAAGTATTCTATTATTCATAAAACAACGCGAATGATGCGCACGAACGTCTGTTTAAGCTCCAACAAGTCTCTTATGTTGGTCTCTTATCTAATGCACCCCGGTTTGCCGGCTCCCCCAAACAACTGTACCCCTAATGAGGTGCTCATGTGGGTGTGTGTGTGTGTGTGTGTGTGTATGGGGTGTAAAATGTAAAATTTTCAATTAGTACAAATTAATTGTGACCTTTCAAACGCGATTTACTGCAGACGCAGGCGAAAGCCAGAAGTAAATTTACAAATCATGCATTCAAAACAAGCTCCCCATGTACAGACGACATCCCTATCTTCGTTTAATGTGGGGTGGTTGGGGGTTGCGTGGTTGCGGTGGCAGAGGACCCAGTTGATTCAATTTGAGTCAGCTCATAAAATTAAATATAAAAAGAGGAAGGACGAGAAGGAAAAACAAATAGAAATGAACAAGTGCCGGGTTTATGACAATATAATTACAAAGAGTTGCGCGAATGAAGACAAATGTGACCATAAAAGGATGCCATCGTTGTCATGGCTCTGTTGGCCAACCCGCGGTGCTATAAGCCATGTTGCCATACCACCCGTGGTGCAGAGGAACATACCCACACACACACACACACACGCAATCAGGTACATATATATACTCGTATATATATTTGCATACTTGTGTATGAACATATGTATATGCCTACGTATACATATGTCGCATTTAATTTGATTCTTTATTTATATATGTGCTCGTCAGCATTTATTGAAATTAATGCGGAACCATAATTTTAATATACCAATAGAGCTGCAAACAAACACACAAACACACAAACACATAAGCATATAAACATTCGTGCAAGCATATACACGGTCATATACTTGTACATATGTACATATCTATATACTCGTACATACATATGTGTAAGTATGTAAGTGTGTTTTGTAGGTTATAGACCCAGCTGTAAATTGAATTTTATACATTTTGTTTAATATACAAACACAAACATATACCCACACCCACACACACACATCCCCTACACACACACACATGCCCAATTTTTATGTTGTGCATTTGGCGTAAATTATTTGGAACGCGTCGGTTTACAACCAAGAAAAGTATTTTATGCTCATGATGTAATGGCACGAAAGCGTTCGCCATGAAAAATGCCATCCAGGACAGGACAGGACAGGACAGGACACTTGTCACATGTTTTTTCAATTTGTCGCCGTTCTCACAAATCAAATTAAAAATTAAACGTCGACATGTCCACATGGAGCGACCCTTACCCACATTTCACATTAGATTGGATTAAAACGATTGATCCTATCTGGAAAAGAGCTCACTCAGTGCCCAAGCTACTTAGTGGTGTCGTTTACATACAGTTTACTGCTTAGAAGCCCCAACACAGAACCCTTATTTTCTTATTGTTTTTCATACTGTTGCTTCAAAGACATGCTCCATCCCATCAGCACTTGAGATCCTCTTGCCTGTTGATTAATAAGAATTTCTAGAACGGAGCTCTCTTGCCAATGCGTTATACTAAAATAAATGAAATCTCTGCTGAGAATAGACTTTGAGGAGCATTAATTTCTCTAGGTAAACACCTTACATTTAAATTAAAAATTACAATCAAAGGAACTAAAAGTTATTTTAAGTAATTTTTTATTGGTTTTTTATTTAAAATTTATAAAAGTCATTGTCGTGAATCAAACCCACATATGTGCCGTTATAGTCGGTATTGTCTCTAAATACAAAACATTTTCCGGGAATTCGGAAATCGATCATAAATTTTAGATTTTGTACTTGAAATAAGTATTTAAGCTCCAAGCGTTCGCAGTTTCTTTTCATCACACTTCGTTTCTAGAACAAATATGCTTCAGCTTCATTCAGATTTGGTTTGCAAATGATTATTTCCAAAATAATGCGGAAATCATGATGACAACTATAGACATTTCAGTTATTCCAAATGGGCAGTCGACATAAAACAAAAGAAATATCTAAACAAAAAAATATCTAAAATATATCTAAATAAAAATTTGTTTGACAACCTTGACAAAATAAATATAAGTTGCCGGCATATCCATAGAAATTGTTAATCAAATCATGTATTTTAAAAAATTCGCTCTGGTCTTGAATTTCCTTTAGTTCCTTTCGCTCTCTATGTTTTTGGAAACCTATACATATTAACCAAAATTGCAACAAACACAAGAAATCAGGAGGAAACTTGCTAGCCAATCTGTACACATTTACCGGTGCGCTTCCCATTTTTAGGACATGGCTGTGTGTTGCAAGTGTAAGGGCGTGGTCAAGTTGCGCTCCATCAATGCCCTTGGCAAGACATATCATCCACATCATTTCACGTGCAGCGACTGCGACAGGCCCATTGAGTCGTCCACATTCAATGTGGTTAAGAACGAGCCGGTCTGCACCGCCTGTTATGATAAGAAGCATGCCTCCAGATGTTTTGCCTGCGGCACTTCGATTCTGCAGCGTGGAGTTGTTGCGGTCGGACGCAAGTGGCACGAGAAATGTTTCCGGTGCGTGAGTTGCGGCAAATCGTTGGTGTCGTCGACTTTCTTCGAGGTCAACGGGTATCTCTTCTGCAAGTCCGATTACCGGGAATCGTTCTCGTCCCGTTGCGCTGGCTGCGCCGAGCCCATTGCTAAAAACGCTGTGGTCGCCTTAAACACCAAGTGGCATGCCAATTGCTTCAAATGCAATCGCTGCTCCCAACCGATTACCGGCGAAAGTTTCAAGATTGAAGGCAGTCGGCCTGTGTGTGCGAAGTGTACAAAGTAATATGACATTGTCCGGCGTGTTGAGACTACGTCGTTCATTTAGTTATGTCATGTGTGAATAAATAGCTCCAAATTATTAGTAACGAGACATCGAGTACTGGCAATAAATCATTGAATAATTCCTTCGATAGCTCCTGTCCGTAAAAAACAATTTGGAAACGGACTGCGGTTGATACCCTTTTTTTTCTGCTGGCAATGCTTCGCTGGGCAACCCATTTGTTCTCCTCTCCCATTTCGTTTCAGTTCGGATGATTTTCTGGCGATTACCAACACTCTTTGTTTTTTGATTGCTATCTCTCTCTTTCTCTTTCTTCTAGATTTCCATAGTTTGTTGGTGGATGTGATTACCACGTTATCTGTCAAGTTATTGTCATTTTGGGTTAGGCCGTATACTCTTGAAGACTACAAGAAGCTATCGATATAATTTAGTAAAGGGGTGCTACTCAGAAAGTGGTTGGGCCGTCAATTAACGTTTTTTTCTACTTCGCTTACTGCAGTACCAGTACCAGTAAATAACTTTTAAAATGGTCCGAGTTTTATGATTTAAAATAAGTTCTGTTTATTCCAAGGTAAAGCACGAAATTAAAAATTATAAACAACTCAATGTATTGATTAATTGCTTCTATCAGCATCAGTAGCTAACTGCTATTCGTGACAAAGCTAGAGGCCGGTCTATGAACTACACTCTAACAACTATAGAATACGTATTAAGTTTTCAGTTTGATAACTACAAATGTTATTTAAGGATGAAGAAACGGCTGCACTATAGTGAAATAGTCCTTGGGGAAAATATAACGACCTAAGATGGTTATATAGTAATTAAATTAAATTAAGAAAAAGGTTCTCATCTGATTCGGCTTTTTTCCTAGACAAACGTCAAAATGAATGTATCTTGAGGGTTTCAGAAGAATTTGCCGTTTGTGGCATCAATGATGTCTCAGACTAATGTATACTTAGATAATCATTGTGGATAGTGAAATTCTACCAGCTATCCTTCGATATTTAGTCAACGCGTGATGTGTTATAAGTCACAAATATCTAAGGACTGCTCATCTCTAACCTGTCATTGGCATTGACATCTGTCTTTATTTTTTCGTGCATTCTTATTGCTATTGAAAATTGCTCCGGTCCTTGGCAATTGGATTATTGTTACTTAAGGAGCCAACAACTGACTGAACAACATGGATGTTATCAAGCAAATCACAAATGCGCTCTACGACATGCTCTTGTTTGCAAACTATTTGGCTTTCTCGAGTGTTGGCTATGAAATTATTCGCATGATCTATAACCATGTAAACAACAACAACAACAACAACAACAACAATAATAACAACAACAATAACAACAACAATCCTGAAAGGGCAGGGGCTGGTGCTGCTGAAGTTGAGTTTGAAGTTGAAATTGAAGTTGAAATTGAAGTTGAAGCTGAGTCTGAGTCTGAGTCTGAGTCGGAATCTGATGAGGAAAACGAGGAGGACGATGACTGATTCAAATGCGCGTTCCATTCCATTCCACAATATGAACACAATAAAAAGCCTCGACGGATTTTGCTTTAAAACGTTTTGTGTTTTGTGTTTTGTGCTTTGTATTTTGTATTTTACTTCTCCCCTTCTCTCCCCTCCCCACCCATACGTGCTTTTATTTTTCACATTTGCAACCTGAAGTCAAGCGTCCTAAGAAGCATCAGGATCCGAAATGCAACTGCTACTGTGGCTATCATCTCTACCCCTTGGAGTGTGCTTAGCACACAACTTTAATATACTTAACACGTACATTGTTTGTATATGTATATACACGTATGTACTTACATATGTCTGTGCATATAATATACATACATACATGCTTGTGCTAAGCAGAAGAGACAATTCCTGTTGTTTTGCAGTTGGGCGGCAAAACGAACAAACAACAACACCAAGACAAATAAAAGTGTCTGCTTCAAATAAGCTGTAAGCGCTAAAGGGCCTATTTTTCAACTCTTGACGCTCTAATTTATTTATTTTTTTGCACCTTTGTTTTCATTTTAAGCCGGTGGTAGTGGAAGGACAAAGATGTTGACGTTTTAATGACCCATTTTTCTTGCGCTTCCTCTCGCGCCGAGAATCTGAGTAATTAACAAAGTGAAACAAGAGCCTTTACTTCAGCCAGAGCACGAATTCAAATAACAAACAACACCTTCGCTCATGCCCCCCTTCTCACCCTTCTGCCACACTCCCACCCAGTCCCTCCTCCATCACCACCTCCACCACGTCCTCAACCCACAACAGCACCAGCACCAGCACCACACCATTGCCTTACCTTGCCAACGACGAACGAACAGACGACGTTGACGTTGACGACGCCACTGTCGCATGCATGTTTGCACTTGTCTGATGCTCTCTATCTCGCTCCCCCCCTCACTCACAACACACCTACATACATATATTCTGACATTGTGCAGAGGCACAGCAAAAAAGTGTCAGTTGGGATCTTGCTAAAGCATATTTGTTTTTGTGGCTTAGTATGGGATATAAATATTTTGTGCGATTTTTAGAAAATTCAACAAATAGTTGAATCTAAAATATTGTATGTTTGGTATTCGTGATGTTATAAACATCAAATAAAATACCAGTTATTACTAGTAGTTACTGCTTCCACTTTACAACACTCGAAAACTGCTTTGTGCCACAAATTGAACAAATTGTCGTTGATTTGCCATTTGAAATGGAACCAAGTACAAGTATCTACCAATGGGGAGCTGCTAATTTATTGCCCATGTAAGTGGTTTGTGATGAATTTAATTTAGAACTTTAAGGAATGAATGTATTTTATGGAATGTTAGTCCATATTCAATGCAATATCAATCATTAAATAAGCAAACTCATTCCAGAATAAGTGAAGATATTGCAGTTTATTTGAAATAACAGAAAATTCAGCAAAAATGTGCATCTCTAAGTGTATTTTATTCATTTTAGTGCATGCATATTTTCAGATTGGTGGTATCATTTGTTGACAGCGTATTATTTAGAAAATGCAACAAATAATAACATGAATTGAAGTCCTAAGTGCATTTTAACGATGGCGTGCTACTTACTTAGTAGCTACTAGCCTTCCTTATTGTACTGTTTCCATTTATGGATCTTAAGGCTCTTTCCATTTCAATAGTCCTTTGGGAGCTTTTTGTTGGAAGGGTTCCGTTTATTGATCTTAGTCTTATTTATACTAAAGGGCACACAATGGTCGTCCTAACATTTTGCATTCAAACAAACATATAGTATGTAGATACATACATACATACATATACATGCATACATTTGTAAGTCGTTTAGCAGGGGCTTTGCTGTAGCTTTTGTTTGGTGTATTCCTTTCACTCAAAGTGACTCGAGTGTCGCTTTTTTATTTTCGACGCATCATTATTTCTGAATTTACTGGCACACGGCGGCAGTGATGACAAGACGACGACGGTATGCGGCGTTTGGATGCGTGCGATATGTACATTTCTGTGGGAGTGTGTGTGTGGGTGTGTGGCAGTGTGTAGGTGGGAGTGGTGCGACGCTGCGTCTACTGCTGCCAACATTTGTGCCACCATCCTTTCAAACCACTCTGCATTACCAGTGCCCCAGCCTCAGTGTTGTTGGTGCACCACCCATCCCATTATTTAGCTACAAACTCGCTCATACTCTTGTATACTTGTATGTACATACATATGTTCATATGCATATGTAAGTACAATAACAACAACAACAACAACAGTAACAGTAACAACAACAGCAAACAAACACGAGCCTCGCATGGCTTTTTGCTCTTTAAAGTTGCTTAATATATTCATACATACATTTGCATAAAATGCAAAAATCATTCAGTACATACGTGTAAGTACAGCTCGCAATATTTTTATAATTAAAAGGACGCATTGAGCAGAAAATAGATTTTTCTTTACAAATATCACACACCATCTTGCCTTGTTATTCTGTTATTAAAGACACCGAGCAAATGCTTTAAGAAGCAACGGGACCCCTGGTACTTGATTGAATAACAAAATAATAGCACGCATACCCACATTAGCGGGTGGAATTGTGAAGGAACGAACAAACTGACATATCATTCATCATTTGGGTAGGTACGAGTAGTGTGTATTCGAACCGGTATCAGTGTGCGTGCCCAGAGTGTATAACCCGAAACTCAAGGAGAAAAATACCCACCGGGTCCACCCATTACAATTGTAAGTCACATACTTATTTATCAACATCGATAACAGAAGACCACTCTTCACTGAAAATGATTTCGGGTTGAAAGGAACGAAACGGAATGAATCGTGACAGTGTTGTAGACTATCTTACAACAGTACAACAGTAATAAACAAAACACTGGCTATTCAGTTCTCCTTGAAGTTGCTTAGATGTTGAAATTTCATTTCCACATATATCAGAAACGCAATTTGTAAGTATTAGTTTCGCTTGATTTTAGTCGATCTATTTAAAGGCAATACGCTTCATTATTAAAGATATCACAGCTTTGTTAATTTGGTAGTGACTATCATCTAGTTAAGAAATACTTTATATAGATAATAGTCTCGAGTGTACGAATTAAGAATCTGTGTAACCCCAAAAAGTAGGCATTATACTAATAGTTTCTATATGAACGCAAGAATCTTTAAGAGCATCAGATCTAGAGGCAATCAACTTGATAAACGTTCCCTATTCAGCCTCAGTATGGAATCGACTTCATCTTCAAGAGTCTCGAAATGTCATTTTGAGTGAGGAATCTTCAACAAATTAATTACCATAAGCGTAATCAACGAACAAACACTCCTTTAACTGTTGCTATAAAAGAGAACTAGTGGAAGAGAGTTTAAAATCCTTTATCTCGGGAAGTGCAGCCACGAAGTCGAGAAGGGACACATTAATATTATTTTCCAAGAACCCGTCCACCCTCTCGATATGAACTCGAGTCGATGGCTAATTGTTACACATTTTATTGCAGGACCGCAGGAAGTGGTTAGTCCTCCTGAGTGTGCGGGGTTGGTTGACGGTGTTTAATAGTTGGGCTGTTCCAACACTTAGGGAGTCGGGGCTGGGGCTGGGGCTGGGTAAGCCTTGTTGATTTATATTA